TAACTCTCTCTCTCTCTCTCCCTTCCTCTCTGTATAAAATCAATAAAATATTTTTTTTTTAAAAAAGAATCAACCAACAAATCGATGTTTCTCTCTCTCCCTTCATCCCTCTATCTCTTCTTCCTCCTTCTCCTCCTCCTCCTCTTCCTCCTCCTTCTTCTTTTCTCTCTCTCTCTCTCTCTCTCTCTCTCTCTCTCTCTGTCTCTCTCTCTCTCTCAAATTAATAAATTAAAAACAACAAAACGATTACCCACCCCGGTGACTCATGGGCTCTGAGGCTTCAGTTGCCCTGCAAGACCAGGCTGAGACCAGCCCAGGATCGCAGACTGCGGGGAGGAAAACCTTGCCTTGTTCCCAGAAGTTAGGGGCCTTACAGGAGTTTTGTGGACTTAAGACCCCGCCCTCTGGCCCGTGCGAATAAGCACCAACTCCTGCCCAGGTCTGACCCTGCAGAGGGCAAAGGAAGAGGGTGGACCCGCAGGCAGGGAGGGCTGGCAAGACTCGGGGCCTGACCCTGGAGATTGTATTTTGACTGTATCTTAAGGGGCTTTTTAATTTTTTAATTTTTTATTTTTTTATTTTTTATGGCTGTATAATACAGTCTCTACCCAAGCTATGAAATCCATTCATTCTACTCAGTTCATAAGGTAGAATTAAATGATCCTTTTAACCCCAAGGCAGTGAGTTAATGGCCTCCTCTTTGTTGTGGGCAGGTCTTTAGGACTCACTCCGCTCATCAGGGAAACCAAAGGAGGTACTGGCTGTGGCTGGAATGCTCTCCAGCTGGCTTCCACGTGAGGCACAGTTGTCTCTTTGTTAGACTGATTTACCCTTTTTTTTAAAATATATTTTATTGATTTTTACAGAGAGGAAGGGAGAGAGACAGAGAGTTAGAAACATCGATGAGAGAGAAACATCGACCAGCTGCCTCCTGCAAAGCCCCCACTGGGGATGTGCCCGCAACCAAGGTACATGCCCTTGACTGGAATCGAACCTGGGACCCCTCAGTCTGCAGGCCGACGCTCTACCCACTGAGCCACACCGGTTTTGGCTGACTTACCCTTTTTAAGAGAGAGGCTCTGCCTCTGATGTCTCCCATTAACAGGAGCCTGCAAATAAGTAAAATGCCCTGTGAACCCCAACCACCTGCCTCCTTCCTACACCTTCCCCACGAGAAGTGTATTCAGTACGAGGGGCTGGTCTTGCGTGCACTTACCAAGATCTAAAGAAGTAAAATTCAGCCCTAACCGGTGTGGCTCAGTGGATAGAGCGTCGGCCTGTGGACTGAAGGGTCCCGGATTCGATTCTGGTCAAGGGCATGTACATTGGTTGCAGGCTCATCCCCAGTAGGGGGTATGCAAGAGGCAGCTGATCGATGATTTTCTCTGATTGATGTTTCTAACTCTATCCCTCTATCCCTCTCTCTTCCTCTCTGTAAAAAAATCAATAAAATATATTAAAAAAAAAAAAAGGTTTTCCATTAAAAAAATAAAGAAAGAAAGAAAGAAGTAAAATTCAGCCCTAACCGGTTTGGCTCGGTGAATAGTGTCGACCTGCGGACTGAAAGGTCCCAGGTTCGATTCCGGTCAAGGTCATGTACCTTGGTTTCGGGCACATCCCTGGTGGGGAGTGTGCAGGATGAGAAACATCTCTCTCATCGATGTTTCTAACTATCTCTCTCTTCCTCTCTGTGAAAAATCAACAAAATATAAATAATAATTAAAAATAAAAAAAGAAGTAAAATTCAGAACTAAAACACCATCATAGGCCAGCAGGGCAAAATAGTATGCATGTGACCTCAGGCCCAAGCATTAGCTCACTCTGTCTAGTACTTTTCTGGCCTGTTCAGTTTCCGGCCAGTGTCCTATGCCACCTCAATGCCCCTGGGCAGAGGGAAGCAGGTGTGGACTCAGATACTGGTAGGTATAGGGATTGAGAATGACAGCCAGGGCTGAAGGCGCATCCCCCGGCTTGCAAAAGCATTCTCCTGGCAGAAGGGAGAGTGTGAAAATTTTGTTTGACAAGATGTCCATCGCGTTTGCTCATGAGCCACTGGCTAAAGCAAGTCACAAGGCCCGGCCAGCGTTCTTTTTTTTTTTTTTTTTTTTTTTTTAATATATTTTATTGATTTTTTTACAGAGAGGAAGGGAGAGGAATAGAGAGCTAGAAACATCAATGAGAGAGAATCATCGATCAGCTGCCTCTTGCACACCCTCACTGGGGATGTGCCCACAACCAAGATACGTGCCCTTGACCGGAATTGAACCCGGGATCTTTCAGTCCACAGGCCGACGCTCTATCCACTGAGCAACACCGGTTTCAGCCCGGCCAGTGTTCTTTTCAGCCATTCTTCCCAGGCTGCAGCTGTCACAGTGACCTGGCATGGGTAGCAGATGGATGTCTGCCTGAGATCTCCAGCCCTTGGGAGGCTCAGAATACTGGGGAGGCCCCTGGCGTTAATGCTACTCCTTCTGTTTCCAGAAGGACCCTGTAGGGCGGCCTTACCTCTAGCAAAGTGCTTCCAAGTGTCAACCACCTGGACATCCATCTTTTTTTTTTTTTTTTTTTTAATATATTTTTATTGGTTTCAGAGTGGAAGGGAGAGAGAGAAAAATCAATGATGAGAGAGAATCATTGATCAGCTGCTTCCTGTCTGCCCCCTATTAGTGATCAAGCCCGCAACCCAGGCATGTGCCCTTGACTGGTATCGAACGCAGGACCCTTCAATTCGCAGGCCAACACTATCCACTGAGCCAAACCAGCCAGAGCTGGACATCCATCTTCTAAGGCCCAGTATATCGGTCAGCTCAGGCTGCCCTAACACAGTCTCATGCTGGGAGACTCAATGTTTATTTTCTCACAGTTCTGGAAGCTAGAAGGCCAAAACCCAAGGTGTCGGTGGAGCTGGTTTCTGGTGAGGACTCTTCCTGGCTTATAAATAGCCACCTGGCCGTGTCCTTACATGGCCTTCCCTCTGGTGTCACTTCCTCTTTTGTTTTGTTTTGTTTGTTAATCCTCACCCCAGGATATTTTCCGTTGATCTTTTTGAGAGAATGGAAGAGAGAGGGAAAGACAGGGAGAAGCATCGATGTGAGGGTAACATATCAATTGGTTGCCTCCCGCAGGCATCCTGACCTACTGGGGATGTGCCTACAACCAAGGTACTTGCCCTTGACCGGAATCGAACCCGGGACCCTTTGGTCCACAGGCCAACGCTCTCTCCACCTTGCCAAACGAGCTAGGGCTGGTGTCACTTCCTTTTAATAAGGACACTAGTCCTGTTGGATTAGAATGCATCCTTAGGACCTCATTTAAACCTCAACTATCCTCTTAAAGGCCCCATATCCAAATACATTTCAAGTTAGAACTTCAAGCAATGGATTCTGGAGGCTACAATTCGGTCCATTAACATCCAGGGTCCCGCCGAAACCGGTATGGCTCAGTGGATAGAGCGTCAGCCTGCGGACTGAAAGGTCCCAGGTTCGATTCCGGTCAAGGGCATGTACCTCGGTTGCGGGCACATCCCTAGTAGGGGGTGTGCAAGAGGCAGCTGATCAATGATTCTCTCTCATTGATGTTTCTAACTCTCTATCCCTCTCTCTTCCTCTCTGTAAAAAATCAGGGTCTCTGGGATAGGGCAGCATTTGCAATACATAATTCAGTGTTCTCAACAACCCTGCAAGGAAATTATCAGCAGCATCATTTGCACTTTACAGATAAGGAAGATGAAGTAACTTCTCAGTAAGTGGAGGATCCCGGACTGGAACTGTTGCTTTGATTCCAAGTCACGTGTTCTTTGACCTGGAACTCTGAATGTCAGCCTCATAAACATGGAAACTGAAATACTGACTTAATAGCTGGAAGGGTTATGTAACCTATGGAATATTATTTGTAAAATGACGTTAAGTACAAAAAAGAAAGAGAGGAGGTAGACACACACACACAACACACACATCGATGTGAAAAAGAGACATCTTTTTGTTGCCTTCCGTCCCAACGGTAATTAAATCTGCAACCCAGCAATGTCCCTTTACCTGGAATCGAACCCGAGACCTTTGGGTGCACAGGACGACACTCAGCTCGCTAAGCCACTCCATCCGGGTCCATTTTAATTTTGATACTATATATCTGTATTTCTGGGGACTGCAGGTATTCAGCTTATTTCTGTCTTAAATTTCACACCTTTCACATTTCAGGTGTATTTCCTAGCTTCTGGATTTGCTGTATGAACCCATAGTCCCCTGACTCTCTACCTCCTAGCTGCGACAATGTATATTAACATATTGTTCTTTCAGCTCCATCTTGGTACACTAAAGATTATTATTTAAAATGTATTTTTAGCCGAAACCGGTTTGGCTCAATGGATAGAGCGTCAGCTTGGGGACTGAAGGGTCCCGGGTTCAGTTCCAGTCAAGGGCATGTACCTTGGTTGCGGGCACATCCCCAGTAAGGGGTGTGCAAGAGGCAGCTGATAGAAGATTCTCATCAGTGTTTCTATCTCTCTCTCTCTCCCCCTTCCTCTCTGTACAAAATCAATAAAAATATATATTTTTTAAAAAATAAAAAAATAAAAAAAATAAAAAATAAAAAAATAAAAAATAAAAAAATAAAATAAAATGTATTTTTATTGATTACGAAGAGGAAGGAAGAGGGAGAGAGAGAGAAACATCAATGATGATAGAGACTCACTATTGGCTGCCTTCTGCAGCCCCACACTGGGAATCAAGCCTGCAACCTGGGCATGTGCCCCGACCGGGAATCGAACCGTGACCTCCTGGTTCATAGGTTAACGCTCTACCACTAAGCCGCACTGGCTGGGCAAGGCTTCTTTTTACTCATTCTGTAACTATATAGGCACAGCTCCGTGTGCTACGTTATTTTCCTTACCTTGACTCGGGTATAGCCATAGAGTAAATGATAAAAGCGCTTTTTCCCGTTGTTCCAAGGAGTGAGTGGCAGTCGCAAGGTCACAGGCCAACCTTCTCCCCTTCTCTTTGCAGCCGTCCTTTCATCAGGCCGACAGCGTGCGGGGCACCCGCCACCACGGGCTGGTGGAGCGTCACTCCAGGACCCGCTTCCACCCCCTCCACCGGCGGCCTGCGGACAAGCCTGGGCGGCAGATATCCTTTCTCGCTGTCAAAGGAGAGTATACACTTTGAAATGTGGTTTTCAGGATGGATCTTCCCTGCCATTCCTCTCTGGCCTCAAAATCGTCCTTTTATCTGATGAATGGAGGCAACGGAAGTAAGTAAGGTGGAACCTAGAAAGACGATTATAGCCGAAACCGGTGTGGCTCAGTGGATAGAGCGTTGGCCTGCGGACTCAAGGGTCCCGGGTTCAATTCCACTAAAGGGCATGTACCTTGGTTGCTGGCACATCCTCAGTGGGGGGGGGTGCAAGAGGCAGTTGATTGATGATTCACTCTCATCTATGTTTCTAACTCTCTATCTCCCTTCCTCTCTGTAAAAAATCAATAAAATATATTTTTAAAAAAAGAAAGAAAGATGATGATAGATGTTTACTGAAGCATCACTAAGGTTTTGTTTCATGGAGCAGCTGGACATACACAACATGTCATTCAGCCCCCTTGCGAGGCTCTCTCTGCATTTTCCTGAGAAATCAGTAATGTCAGGGTTAAACCTGGCTTTGAACCAGCTTTGAGAGATTCCGTTTTCTTGCTGAAACAGATACACAGAGAAGTGATTGAGTTTTACTTATGTTGACCTGCTGTTAGAACTCACAGACAAAATTTAATAGGATTTTCCATTTATGGATTTGCAAACTCAGTAAAGGACATCCGAAATATATAGCCAGTATTTAGGAAAATTTCCATATGCTTATGCTCACTCCAGGCTGTTAAGGAGGAATAGGAGAGGTGGTGATCTCCCCTGGCAATTATTTTTTAAAAATATATCTTATTGATTTTTTACAGAGAGGATGGGAGAGGGAGAGAGAGTTAGACACATCGAAGAGAGAGAAACATCCATCAGCTGCGCACCTTCTACTGGGGATGTGCCCGCAACCAAGGTACATGCCTCTGACTGGAATTGAACCTGGGACCTTTCAGTCCGCAGGCTGATGCTTTATCCACTGGGCCACACCAGTTTTGGCCCCTGACAATTATTGGACTGGTCCTTATCAGGGCTGGAGCTGGCTTGCTGATGGCAGCCAGGATTGGGCGGAGAGCTCCGAGCCGGCCTTTGCGGGCTCCGACATAGAATGAGCATGCCACGGGGGCCCTGCTCTCTCCCTCCCCTCCTCACACAGGGAGATGGAGGAAGGCGCAGAGGCGGGCGGGTCTGACTGCAGAGCCGGATTCCTGGCAGTGATGGCAGAATTGGCTCCAGGAGCCTAACAACCAGGAAGTGGGGGGAGGGGCACTCATGTTTACTGAGCACCTACCCATGCCAGGCACTGTACTGGGCAGTTCATATGCCATTTAGTCCTTAAAGCTTGCTGAGTAGTTTTTTTTTGTTTTGCTTGTTTTTTAATCTTTTAAAAAATATATATATTTTATTGATTTTTTACAGAGAGGAAGACAGAGGGATAGATAGTTAAAACATCAACAAGACAGAATCATCGATCAGCTACTTTTTGCACACCCCCTACTGGTACATGCCCGCCGAAACCAGTTTGGCTCAGTGGATGGAGCGTCGGCTTGCGGACAGATGGGTCCTGGGTTCGATTCCAGTCAGGGGCATGTGCCGTGGTTGCAGGCACATCCCCAGTGGGGGGCGTGCAAGAGGCAGCTGATCGATGGTTCTCTCTCATCGATGTTTCTAACTCTTCCTCTCTGTAAAAAATCAACAAAATTTTTTTTTAAAAAAAAGGTACATGCCCTTGGCCGGAATCGAACTTGGAACCTTTCAAGCCGACACTATCCACTGAGCCAAACCGGTTTCGGCAGTAGTTTGCTTTATTAACCCCCATTTTCCACGGAGGAAAAGGGGTGCCAGAGTTACTTGCCTAAGATTCCACTGCCGAGGTCGAAAGGGGCCTGGATTCAGCCCAGGCCGAGCTGACTCCCAGCCCGGGCCCCGCCCCGTACCGCACGCGTCCATCGCGCATGACCAGGCCCACCGGTGCGTTGCAGGTGCACAGGCTGCTTTCCTGGCCTTCGGGCTGCTGGCGGGGTTTCATCTATTCATAGCAACGGCTGTTCCCCGGGGGGCAGTTACTGCTCCCCTCTTTCTGCCCCCGGGGACATGCACGCCATTTGGTCCACTGAGATACTCTGACTCCTAGTTTTGTTTTTTTTGTTATTTTTTAAAGGCGTTATTTTATTATATTTATTTATTTTTTAATCCTCACCTGAGGGTATTTTTCCATTGATTTTAGAGAGAGTGCAGAAGAGAGAGGGAAAGACAGATTGGTTGCCACCTGCTTGTACCCCGACCAGGGCCCGGGCTGGGGAGGAGCCTGCAACCGAGGCACATGCCCTTGATCGGAATCGAACCTGGGACCTCTTTGGTCCACAGGCCGGCGCTCTATCCACTGAGCCACACCGGCTCGGGCCTGACTCCTAGTTTTGTATGGTGTGTGGCCATTATTAGGGAAAGTTGGAGATGACAACTGATGCTGAGAATTCCTTTCTGGGATGTGTGATGGCTTTTACGTAGAACGCAGAAGGGAAAGGAGAATCGAGGCAGTTCTTCAGCCAATTCACACGGGTGTGGGTGGAGCAGTACGTCAGACCGTTGTCCAGATCACTTGGAATCTTCAAGCAAAAGCCTTTGAGTGTTTCTTCGCCTGGTTTAACAATATATTTTTTCTGATTTCTCAATTTCCTCTTTCTGTATAGGTGCTCTCTTTAAATATCCTGAGTGTGTGTGCGGGTGTGTATAATAGTTATCTCAGATCCTTTTTGCAGCAAGCATAGTCTAAATATGTGCACATGCTTACAGCTGTTATAACCAAAGGAATAACTTAGAAGAGAAAGGGGTTGAAGAAAATCCACAGAGAGGAATATTCATTCACCCAGTGATTTCAGTATATGCTAGTGTCAGGCACCATTATAGACATTGTTGATATTATGTAAAAAATATTACGGTCCTTGCCAAAACCGGTTTGGCTCAGTGGATAGAGCGTCGGCCTTCAGACTGAAAGGTCCCAGGTTCGATTCCGGTCAAGGGCACATCCCCGGAGGGGGAGGAGGGGGCCTGCAGGAGGCAGCTGATTGATGATTCTCATCAGTGTTTCTAGCTTTCTGTCCCTCTCTCTTCCTCTCTGTAAAAAAATCAATAAAATACATTTAAAAATATATATATTATGGTCCTGCCCTAGCCAGTGTGGCTCAGTGGATAGAGCGTCTGGCCTACGGACTGAAGGGTCCTGGGTTTGATTCTGGTCAAGGGCATGTACCTCAGTTACAGACTCCTCCCTGGCCCGGGTCCAAGTTGGGGGCATGTGGGAGGCAACCAATTGATAAGTTTCTCTCCGTCTTTCCCTTTCTCTTCCACTCTCTCTAAAAATCAATGGAACAATATCCTCAGAGGAGGATTAAAAAATAAATAAAAGTAATATGGTTCCTACCCTCAAGTTACTGATAATTCAGTGCAAGAGGCAGATAGGCAAGGGCATGGTCACAGCACAGTGCGGTGAGCAGAGTGAGGCAGCTTGGGCTGTTTTTTTTTGTTTTTTTTGTTTTTTAATGTATTTTATTGATGTCTTACAGAGACCAAAGGAGAGGGATAGAAAACTAGAAACATCGATGAGAGAGAATCATCGATAAGCTGCCTCCTACACATCCCCTACTGGGGATGTGCCCACAACCAAGGTACATGCCCTTGATCAGAATTGAACCCAGGCCCTTGAGTCCGCAGGCCGATGCTCTATCCACTGAGCAACACCGGTTAGGGTGCCATGATATTTTGCATTTAATTTAGAAAGGTCCGCCGCTTGCGTCCTAGGCACTATGGCAGTTAACTGGTGAAGGAAATGATTTCAAATGATCGCGAGTGACAGAGAGAGGAAAAGAGCCGGGAGGGAATGTTCCAGGAGAGGGAGAGCTTGTGCAGAGTCCGGAAGCCAGGGCTACTCTGTGTGTTCAGGAGACTGGGTCTCTTTTGAGGGGAAATATCACAGGATATGACTTGGCCCTCGATGTGTGTCACCGTGAGAGCAGATGAGTTCCTACGGGAAGGAAAAGCAGAAACCCAGTTAATACTCAGCTAAGTGAAAGTTACAGCAAACAGGACAAGTCTGACCCAAAGAACATGAGGTGTCTCCAGATTCTCTTCTTAAGCTCCTAACTGGGTCCTGGGACTGGATAGCTGACTCAAAAAGTGTTCTTTTAAAAATATATGTATATCTTTATTGATTTCATGGAGGAAGGGGGAGGGGGAGAGAGAGATTGAAACATCAATGAGAGAGAATCATTGATTGGCTGCCTCCTGCACACCCCCTACTGGGGATCGAGCCTATAAAACCTGGGCATGTGCCCTTTACCAGAATCGAACCCGGGACCCTTCAGTCCGCAGGCTGATGCTCTATCCGCTGAGCCAAACCGTCTAGGGCCAAAAAGTGTTCTTTAAATATGGGCCTGCCCATGAATGAACAACGAGTCTCTTTTGAGGAATCAAGGGACTGTGCCTCCAGTTAAATTCTAAAGTGAAATGATCTTAGGCGGAAGATATTAATACATTCAGGAGAAGCCGGAAGAGGGCTGTGATTCCACCTTGCCTTTTGTGGGCTGCAATCATTTGATTGTGAAAGAATTTGCTGCCCTGGCCGGTGTTGCTCAGTGGTAGATTGTCAGTCTGCACACCGAAGGGCCTTGGGATCGATTCCCAGTCCAGGACATGTACCTAGGTTGCAGGTTAGATCCCACATGTGGGAGGCAACCAATTGCTGTCTCTCCTATTCATGTTTCTCTCCCTCCCCTTCCGCTCCTTTCCTTCTCCCTTTCCACTCTCTCTAAAAAACAATGGAAAAAAATATCCCTGGTGAGAATTAACAAAACAAAAAAAGAATCTGCTTAAAATGGTTCCCTTTGATACTTGTCTATTACCTCCTTAGTGAAGTTTTTTTAAAAAAATATATATATATATTTTATTGATGTTTTTACAGAGAGGAAGGGAGAGGGAGAAAGAGTTAGAAACATTGATAAGAGAGAAACATCGATCAGCTGCCTTCTGCACACCCCCCATTGGGGATGTGC